CCCCAAAACCCCAAAACCCCAAAACCCCAAAACCCCAAGGATCATGAACAATATAATAATTTAAATATGGAATCTCAGAACGCCCAGGAAATCAGAGAAGCTGCTGGTCATGAAGAAGGTACAGTTTTGAATGATTATAGTGTTAGATGATATAAGCCAATCTCTGAAATACAGTCAAGTGACTCCTCAATGAAAGAGAAACAAGATTGTTCCATATTTCGATCAATTTGAGGAGCAAGATAAAGAGGAAAAAGAGGTGAGCTCTATGAAGTTCATGAAGAAGTTTATGACTCTTGGGCAAAATAAAGCTTCAGGGCTGGTAAAAAATAGATTTATGGAGCACGAAGAGCTTGGATTTGACGAAGTCTCTTCCAGCAATGCTGATTTAAGGTTTCAATCACTAAAAGCAAAGACTCTCAAGGGAAGTCAAACTTTGTATGAGGCTAAAGAGAATAACCGATATGGAAGCAGTATAGCAAGAGATCAAGAGAAAGGATTTGATGAATATGAAGAGCCAGATAATCCCCATAAATCTTTTGGGATGTAAATTTGTTGCATTTATTTATAGAGAAGAATCTAAATAAGCCCAAACATCCTGATGAAGATGAACTTATAACAATGAAGGAAGATAATGAAAACTTTCAAAAGCCAGGTGAATATTCAAGTGTATCCTCAGAAGAAAACTCAGATAGCTCTGGTCCTGATAATATTGGATTTCGTACAGATCAGCTTAGATTTCGAAGGAGAGCAGCTATTGCTAAATTTAAGACAATGAAGTCCCTTGAGTATAACCACTCTCAAGGCGAGACAATTGAAGAAAACTCAGAAGCATTTATCAAAAGCGAACTATCTAAGCAAAAATTCTTAGAATATGAGAGAAGATTTTCTATAATCTGGAAAATCGTGTTGAGTATATTTTCGTTCATTACTCTATTCCTGTTTGCCTACGAGACAGGCTATATAATCCGTGAGCAATGGCGATACACTTTAATCTTCACAATAAACATCATAATCGAGCTTGCCTTTCTCGCTGACATAGTTGTTCTCCTTCTCAAGCCGTTCCAGCATCGAGGAGAGTTGTACAAGGGGTTTAGGAAAATATCTAGATTCCGGCTGAGGTCCATCTATTTCTACCAAGATGTCTTCGCAGCAGTCCCCTCTGTGATCATTGGGGAGATCTTCAACCCAGGCTCTATTAATAGCCCGAATAGTATTTATGGCTTTTTGTATGTGTTCAAGCTGTGGAAAAGCAGATATGCGTTCCATGTTGTCGACAAGATTTTTAACATTTTTAAGTCTGACCTTAAAGGAGATATCAGGAGGCTGCTCAAGCTTGCGATTGGGCTGATGTTTACAGTTCATATCATGGCTTGCCTCCATGCATATATGGGTAAGCTTTTTGTGGGTTTATTTTTAGGAAGAAATAGTAATATGAGTGAAGCAGGTTGGCTAGTCTTAAGTAACCATGACCATGACAGTGACTTAAAAATCTATCTGACTTCTTCATACCTCGGGACAGTGACTTTCAGTGGGGTTGGCTATGGAGATATTGTGCCAACCAATAACGATGAGGTGTTCTTCACTATTATAATGATAGCCATCGGTTCGATGTTTTATACGGTGTACATCTCAGTTGTTGCCAACTTCTTTAGCTCAATGGACAGAGTAAATACATTGTACCTCCATTATGACGCAAGTATTGATTATTTTAGGAGTGAATATAACATTCCTGATAACTTGGCTTACGAACTCAGAAATTTTTATAAAACTTATCTTAGAGGTAACCTCAAGTCTCATAATTTAGAGAAGGAGCTCAAGCGGACTGTTAAAATCGATACTATTATGAAGAAACTTCCAAAAACATTGAAACTTGAAGTTCTTCTGTTTGTTCATAAAGGTAAAATTTTGTCTTTTTTTGTTTTCCAGAATGGGGATATTTTCATGCCATTCCGTTGAATAATTTAAACTTATTCTCTAAAGCTAGGCTTTATGGTTAAGAATTCTAACATCATTTAGATAATTTGACAAAAATACCATTCTTTATGCATAGAGAGGAGGAGTTTTACGAAGTATTACTTCCTCATTTAGAGACATTGTACTTCGAGCCAAATGAAGTCATCTACAAGGAAGGCTCTCGCTCACTCGAGTGCTACATACTTATTAAAGGAAGAATTGTAGGCATATTTAACAATGCTTTAGAGGAACGAACTTACTCAAGAAGAAGTCAATATTGGGGAAATGTTTGGGTTTACAGATATGATTTATGAAAGGAACAGACTCGAGACCTACCAAAGCGAAGAGACCCAGGGGAAGGAACGGATAGAAGTACTTTACTTGAAAAGAGATGAATTCTTAGGTAACTCCCTTTGCTAGACTGAATAGACCTCCTGAAAACCTTCCCTGAAATCCATGAAGAGATTAAAATGATGGCAAATGAGAGGAACCAGATCGTCCAAGAAGCCTTAGCGATCAAGCATGAGCTGGAAGAAACTGATAAAAAGAAGAAGCGAGAAGCTTTGTTCAGTAAACGGAAGAAGATCATGCAACTTTACAAGTAAATTATTGGCATTAAATTTTAGCAATTCTCTTCGTAAAATTGGAGAAAGCAACCATGAGTTTAGTTCCCGCGAGCAGAACAGAGAACGGCTGTTAAAGTCTATGAGGAGGTATTAAGCTAAATTAACTCTAGCTTTGGCAACCTTTTCAGAGCAAATGGCACCATTGGAGGTCTCAGAAAATTCGGAAAGAAAGGCAAGCAGAAGACTATTAAAAATAAGGGCAAACTCAAGCTCCTGAACACTTTGGTTTCAATCAGAAGAAAAATGAAAGGTGCTTATGCGGATTTTAGTTTTTAGGTCCAAAAAGCAAGACTAAGCATGATGGACTGCTTGAGAAAATGAAGAGGCTCAATAAATCTCCTGGCAAGTTTGGTTTAACTATCCAAATGTTGGGTAATTTGAATTTTGAAATTTTAGAAATGAAAAAAGCAAGATCGAATAAGAAACCGAAAGTGAGAAAAGTGTATGCCTTTTTAAGATATATGTAGGAGCAAGAATAGCAGCATTTCTTCAAAATAAATCTGAAAGTTCAAAAGAATCTAAGCAAATCAAGTTTAGTTTTAATTCAAGCTTGATGAATGAAAATAGTAGTCTTTATTCTGTCAGTGAGTCAAGGAATCATTTAGACAGAGAGGAGATCAGGGGAGAAGACAAAGGCATTAATCAGTCTAAGTTCAAAGAAAATGCAGTTGAAGGGGGCAATAAATCTAACAGCTCTGACTCTCCAAAATCAGACAAGAAGGATAAATCTAACTTGGATGAATCTAATAAATCTCTTTCTGATTCCAAAAATAACTCTTGGAAAGATCAATCTATGATGTCTAAGAAGACAAAGAAGAAAATGTGTCACCCGCATAAGAATATCTTCTCCAGGAACGAAAATAAACTAGAAGATGAAAAGGACCTTTTGGAGGACTCTATTAAGTAATTTTTATAATCAACCATAGATCTCTTCAGAATCAAAGTCCTATTGAACCTAATGGATCTTGAGTAAGAACTAGCTTATAGTATATAGAGCAAGGATATTCTGGATCTTGATCATTCCATCTCAAGCTTCAAAGCGCTCTACTCAGGTCGTGGCAGAAATTCTTCAATTGACCACTTTGTGGAAATTCAGATGGTAAAGTATTATTATTAATGATTTAGAAGAAATACAAGAAAAGTAAGTTATGGCATTTATGATTAGCTCTTGTGTCAATCCAAGAGAACAAAAACAACCTTAACAAGCATCTAAGCTTTGGCATTGAAATCACAGAGCTACTTTTGGAAACTTTCAACGAGATCAGGAACAACAAGACTGCAATGAAAGCTTTTGATAATGTAATACAATTCCATGACTTTTAGAATCCTTCAGAGAAGCATTCTCAGCCTTCCCATCACAAGTATGGAGCTAGGCTATCTCCAGATGATATTGTGCAGGAGAATACTAGTTCTCCGATGCTTTTCACTGAGTTTTGATTGGACAATTTATTACATACTTTTCAAAACCATTTGCAAATGCTATCGCTGGCATCAAACTATCTTGACATAAAGTAAGCATTTTGCTCATATTCTAGTTTGGAGATGGCTCAAAGAGTTGAGAAAAGCATCAAAACATTCGGAGAAATTCGTGCTGATCTTAGCCAATAAATAATCAGCCCTAACTTGCCACCATAGCTTCAATATATTATTGTAAATAAGGGGTTTTGGGGTTTTGGGGTTTTGGGG